TTTTAATGATCTGAATCTCCAGGATTCCGCAGTTTCTTTTTTATGGAATTAGATTTTAGGGAGTGATTGATAAAAAGAAAAGACAGATTAAAATATAATCACATCTCTGGGCGTAACTTCTCTCAAACACAAATACAGTTCATAGATCTGTATTGTGAACACACAGTTGTCTATCTCGAATATCCTTATGGTTAAAATTAGTTCAGTCGATCGATATCTGGCTTTTATTTTTATAAAATCTAGAATCGATGATCGATATCGGAGATGAAGAAATTGAAAATGTAATTAAAACACACGAGGTTTTTTAATAATAAAAAATGGCCAGAAATATAGTGTTATGTTAACGTCTGGTGTCATTCTGAAAAAGAAAACGCGCGAAATTGCATCTCGTAACAAAAACGGTAATTAAATTTCGCACTCATATTCCATGGTAAAACTGCTTTCTTTATCGCTGAAATTATCATCAGTGTTTCATTTCATGATGTGATGACTTCACTTGCCTCTGCGTGTGCAGAACAATACCATACACAATTCACGCCTTGATCGAAAAAAGTTGCCAAGTGCCGACAAAACCCAAACATTTTCTGGCTACTCGCAACTGCATATGACCATTAGAAACGGTCTTCCAAACACAGCTTCCACTGAATGTTTAGATCTGATAGAGGAATTACATAGCTCCTGATGAAGACCCCAATACCGAAACATTTCCAACTTTATCAGGAATACGACAAGCTATTTAATTTCTTCCTAGACTATGTGCTATGAATATAAAAACAGATATGTGACGAGATGAACAGTGGTAATTTAAGCATTTCGTACCACATTCCAAACTAATCTACTAATAGAAAGGACCAATTCTTGTTTACCTCCTTAAGTCATTGTACTGATGACATAGATTTTGATAGTTGGAATTGAAATGATTTTGAACAAAAAATCAACATTATCTACCAAGTACTCCAAGAAGTAGGACACTATTAAACCTTTCCAATACAGAAACTATGATCTGGAATTGAAACGAAAATATTAATAATGCATACACTGAATCCTCTTCAAAAATTAAGGATGTTGAACTAGCAAATACCAAATGCTTCAAATACCTCAGTATATGGATAAGTTTTTGTAGAGAAGATAAGGAAATTGGACATAATAAAAGCTGCACTAAAAGTAATTTTGCCCAACACTGCAAGTTGCTACAGAACCAAAACATTTAAATTAAAAAATCAATTAGTGTTCCTGAATGGTCGCGCCAGATCGTATATATCATATATATGTCAGGCAGGACGCCAAATTCATCCAGAAATATCTAAACATTCAGTTCTATACAAACACTTTCTCAAACCAATGATTAAGATGGCTGCGAACAAATGGAGTCTGTAGGTTTTAGCGAGAAGCATTTTTCTTCGAAACTTATGGATTATCGCTACAGAATTAGAAAGAATTGCACCAAATAGCAGAAACCTCATCACTTAAAGACTGTCGATAATTGCAACAACTACAATTAATATTACATATAACCCGAAGAGGAATCCTAACAGAATCAAGATGTCGACATTTCAATCAAAAGGTTAGGAAGGAAGTCGACATCAATGCTGGAAAGAGGCATAACATTTAATGGATTTGAGAAACCTACATTTTCGTTAGAAATTGTTCCAATAGATTGATTTTCGAAAATTTTGCTTAGAGTAGCAACGGTTTGTCGGACTATGAATGCCGAATGGTTCCGTATAAGAAAAATGCCTTCATTTAAAAATTTATATGAAAAAAAAAAAAAGAAAATTGGGAGCATTTCATCAAAATTTTTGAAAATTTAGGGTTTCATTTCATTCATATATTTAAAACTTCCCAATAAATTTTATACGTGCAAGCGTTTGAATTTGATCTGTGTATCCAAGAAGGCATATTAAAATCTAGTATTTTTTTTTCATTCGGTCCGATTTGTTGAAGTGATTGAGAAATTTCAGCACCTTAGCATTACACGTTAATTCAATTCAAATCTATATTTATATTATTCTTATATTTTACGTAATCAACATCGTTCTGAAACTCTTTGCAAAAATACGAAATTGACCATTTTGTTTCAATAAAAGCAAATAACCGGTCATATATATGAATCAACATATTATACCTATCTACACATAGACGAATTGGAACAGGAATCTATTCTTAGAAACAGTTTTGCGCTGAGGTAATCGAAATAAATTATAGATTATTATAAATAATTGTTTTTTCAGAGTAATTAAATTAATAAAAATTTAGTTTCGTAATGAGAATATTATTTGTACGATAAAAGTAAAATTTAATATTATTGCTTGGATAATATCAATTTTATTAAGAACATAATACCTTACCGAATAAAATGTTATGAAGTATATTTCGCTTTTTTCTTTTTTCCTGAATGCTGAGAGTAGAGTATATGCGGGTCTCTTATGTTTGATATCCAAAGATATCAAGATGTCCTCCGTAATAAATACACACCGGCTAAGACTGATCATTCTGGCAACATTCTATTTGAAAACATTGTTTCGTATCATCCAGATGCAAGGTAATTTATTGTTCAACGTGAATGCAGAAAAAGAATATTGTTTTACGGGAATGGTTTCACGAAAATAAAGTAGACTTGAATATCGTTCTCGCTAGCAACTTGTCCACATCTGAATGCCTTTGGGCAATAATCAAATGTGATTGGACAAGAAACATTTGTTCTGTAGAACTTCAACTAAATTAATTTCAGCAGTTAAACACCTGCTGCTAACTCATCAGATTTGCTGTGATGCAAAAGAAATTTGAGACGATTCTTCCAGTTGATACCTCATCGGTAATCGTTGGTTTTGCCGGTGTATGGAATGCCGAAAAGCAACTGGCCTTAATATTTTCACTCTTCAATGTAGACTTATTCAGCAGTGCCGGCTAGTTCTCTGATCAAATCACTATTTTTTTTCAAAAAGTATTATTAGTCGAACCTAAAACCTTGAAGCACAATCTAACGCATAATTTGAATCAGTTACTGTCATTTTTTAGATAATATCATACTGGAAGAAAATGAAAATTACTGACACCAAGGTTCGAACGCGACAATCTTGACTTATGAACATATTTTTTTCAGCCAGGTGTATAAATAGCAGTGCCAGGCTACTGACTGCGGTGATTAATGTGTGACGATTGCGTGGAACTATTCAGTTGAATTAGTGTGAATTATTGTGTGTTGATGATTGGGGTTTTGATTTAGGATTTACCGAACATTAAGCCGAGCCGCGCTACTAGAGAGGTATTCACTGAAATGGATAATTATCTTTTGCTGACTTTTGCTTCTTTGTTCTTAAGTATTCATTTGCGATTGTAATTGTTATAGTGGAACGCACCTATTCTATTGTTAATAGACTCTCCCACCGATAATAAGTAGCAGTAGTAGGAGTCGCTCAGTGGGGTCGGTCAGTCAGTCGATGCCGGACGACCGTTAGTCGGATACTAAAGTATCAGCGACCACGACTAGATTTCTCTGCGTCATTACCTATTATATGAAGTTCCTAACGTTTTGTACGTCGAACCTATTTTAGGACCGACTTAGTACAAATACAAGCCTCCAGTGTGAAACCACTCCACAACAGTAATTAAATACTGTTTTTCTTAACATTGAATTCTTGAGTTATACTTAATTATTAACAGCCACCGTATATGACAAAAAAATGTAATATCTTACGATGTACATATAAATATATAACACATAAGTACAGATCATTCGTATGGATGATATATACAATAGGATATTATTTCAGAAATAATATCGGATTATAAATAAAATAATTTATTTCCTTAGAAATTATTCTGTTTATATTTTAGATACGAAAATAACAGTTAGCAAATATGTGTTTCAAAAGAAACGAACACCAGATGTATATTTCTTCGCTGGATTATGAATGTTTTCTGTGGCTGGGCAGCCTCTACGATATGGTTAAACATTCGAATGCAGACGACGGTATACATAGATTCACGCTGTAAAAATTTAAACATGTCTACCTAAATACGTGTATTCACTATATTTAGAATTTAAACGAATAAGTGTAGACAAAAGAAGGGGTGCTGAAAAGTTCGCATCCCAATAAGCCTTTCTAAAAAACATGATGAGTGTTCGTCAAGTAAAATTATGTTGTTGGTATACAAAGGGTGATTGTCTCCCTTTCGTTTAGATATCCACGAAGTTCAAAAGACGGCCGGCGAATTACATCAGGGAACGAAGAGTGACGAAGGGTAGTTGTGATGTAGAACCCTGAGAAGGACGCCCATAGCCCAAAACGGTAAGTCTTACAGGAAAAAAAATCATATAGCCTAATCAGATTCATAGAGAAACCGCTGTAACTCCAGTTTCCCCTACGGAAAATATTGCAATAAAGTTTCCCCTTTTTTTACACACCGTTTGGTATTGCATGTGTTATAATTTCTCTGTGTGGGACACATATATATTTAAGTTTCTGTACGACGTAGCATTATAAAACTCTCTGAGATCTAAGCATGTTTATCATTCTTTTTCTATTCAGTATTCCTTTACGACCGTGGAAAATGGTGTTAATATCTCATAGATATAATAATGCACAAAATGGGAGAAATTCAAATGGGAGAATAAATTTATCTTCTATAGAAACCTACTGTTTATTTTTTTCCAAGAACCTTTCAAACCTCCTGCATATACATAATGACACTATTATCTATTACTATTTCTCTATAAGAAAAAAATGATCGAAGCAAATTATAGTTTTCCTAGACGATTAATATTCTTTTATCTCAAGAAGCAAGCATGTCGTAGAACGTGGTTTCAACTTTTCTAATAATTTGAAGTCCAAATTCCATTATATAATTCGAGTGACCCCAGAATAAACAATAAACAAAAATAACCAATCTCTTCCCTAAGAAATTGTTATTGGCGGGTTAGATAATGTGATAACAAAAAACAAAAGATGGAAAAATTTATACTTACGCCTTGTCAATTTTTAAATGCCTACAACAGCTTAGCCCGTCCGTCGCTTCTTCTTGGTAATACATTCCAGGCAGCAGAGAGCCTGATAGCCTCTTCGTATATCGCGATCACAAAGCCAAAGAATTGGGTTCAATCCCGGGTTGGCACTATGCAACCACCGGGATAACATAGTTTCGTGAATGTTGTACAAATGTCCTCGGGGACATACCCCTGATGGACATATGGCAGCTACAAGGCTTATTGTTCGCGTAATCATTTGCATCAGAAAGAAAAAAACGTCTACCAAGAGGAGAGCGACCATCGAGTTGAGCAGCGAACCGCGATCGTCTCGATCGGGTGAGCAGTGTGGCGAGAGAAGAATGAAGACTGCGATCAATGTGAGCAGGAAACTAACAGCAACAAGGCCTGAGGGAATGTAACGGACAATTTGCGTAAGGCGGGACATATCCTCGCTAACGCCGACTTTGCAGCCGAATAGCGACGGTTCGTCAGGATTTGGTATTTTAACTCCTTGTAATATAATTTCCGGAAGGGTCATTGCCATGCCGACCACCCAAGGCATGAAGACCATGATTGCCCCAATGGCACGATGAACTGGATGTCGATACGTGTCCGGCGAAATCAAACAAAAGAAACGATCAAGATGTATTTCCAATAAACACAGAGGCAGGGCGTCGTTTAAAACGGATTTGGCAAAAACGAATATCTTACAGGTGAGGTCATCAAAGCTATGAATTCCTTGAATCCTTTCATAGAGGGCGTAGGCCAGAATTACGACACCTGACAGGATACTGATGAGTGTTAAGTTCACCAAGTGAAGTCGAAATAGTTTTTTGTCTTTTGCTTTCACACAGCACAGCCCTAGGAGTAGAATGAAATTGAGGAGGCACACACAAGCAGCAATAGAACGATCTGTAATGATGACCGTATCAGACAGATGCCCAGGCGATCCAAAGAAAACGCTAAGTTCTCCATTTCTTCGCTGAACCCGGAGAGGTTCGTAACGGTGATGATATTCTGTCTGGTTGCTTGTAAACCATAACAGAGAGTATGGCGACACCTGGGGTTTCCGTTGGTCAGACATCTGAAATGAAAAAAATAAAAAGACAATATTAAATTAGAATATAAAGAGATAGACGAGAAATATTTTAAAAAACAGGTTTTCTTTTAATTAGGTACCTCCAAAGATTCGCTAAAACAGAACATAACATACATTATATATTTAGATAAAATCCAAAAAAGTATCTACAATGTTACTGATCCTGACCTGTCATCTCGGCTTCAGTCACATTCTCACTACCGTCATGTAGCTTCCGTCTGTCTTTTCTATAAATACTTTCATGATAATTGTTCTGAGGAACTCTATCGTACCTAGACTTTATGAATTTTAAAAAAAGGCCCCAAACTTGATATAAACAGTTTAATCGACAAAATGTTTGTTATTATTAAAAGAAAGATCAAAATATTTCTGATTATTTTATTAAATGTTTTAATCCTTTCTAACACGTTCAGAATTTTGGTTAAAAACCTTGCTTTTCTTGCGTCGGCGGGTGGATCAAAAATTAGTATGGGATATTTAGTGTCTTTTTGCAGTAAAAAACATTGTTTTGAAAATTCTTTCCAAAATGAAATTCTTGTCGAATCTGAATTAAATTTTCACGACTTATTAACAAATGAACTGGGCACCACGAGGCGTTAGAATGGTTAGCAAGCTTGTCTCGCTAGAAAAATTACTACTGAGTAGTGAGTTCGAGCCTCACTAGCTTCCCCCAAGTTTCAACCTTGTGTCACATCTGAGCTACGGTTGGAAAATCACTATACACAAATAAATTATTATTTAACTTTTTTAGAAAATCTTGGTTAAAATATTTCTTTTACATGAATTACCCACATTTATTTCATGAAATTTCGAGAAATTAAAATTTCAAGCTCTTCATATTTACTTTAATTAAAAGTAGAAGTCCTTGGAGAATTTAAATTATCAATTGTTGTTGTCAAACAGAAACACCATTTACTGAAAATCTGCTCTGAATCGAAAAATTAAAAAATGCAATAAAACTATGACATTGTTTAATTAGAAAGTTTTTAATTACTTTTATAAATTTTATATATTAAGAACGTTATTGACTTAATAGTAATAATGTAATAAAATAATCATGAAGTTTTACAAGAATTGTTTTCATTTTTAATAAAAATAATTTATTAAGTTTTAAATCTGTTAAAATTCTTTATTAATTTTGCCATTTTAGATGATATTATTATTAAGTAAAAACTATATATGCTAATCATAAATGGAAAAGCTTAGTTCAAATTATCAAAGACAAATATGTTTAAAAGGACACATAGCATAGTGGATAAAGGCCTTAGTTATATTCAGTGACAGGACCCAAACAGTGTGAGTTCAATACCTGGTTAAGGTGGTGGAGAACTTGGAGAGGGAATTAAACAGGAGATAATTGACAGCCATTAGACATGACACATGGAACTAGAACAGTCTACCACAGTGAGCGAAATAAAGGGTTCAGTTCGACATTCCAACCAGTTGAAGAAGGCCGGAGCGTACCACGACTGAAACGTTGTAATAAATATGGCTACAAAGATGAGGACAATAGTCCGAATAATGTAAATAGTTGTATGTCCAGATATGGTAAAAGTACCATATTTTTGGTTTGATTAGGCTCTTGTAAAGATAGATGTAAATAGTGTTCATAATACCTCATCTCAGAAATATAGATAGATTTTTAAAAGAATTTTGAATTTTTTGTATGTGTAAAAACGTGCCGATTTTTGGAGATATGGACGCCTATACACGATATTATCAGAAAATAAGAGCGATAACTATCGTAAAGTTAAAGGGAGAAAGTATCTAAAAATTCAATAAAACATTAGATTACAGAGAATATTTTTTCGTAAATTTTTAAGCATATTGAGTACATAAAAATTATAGATAAAAGACTCACGTTATATTCAATTATGTTTTACGTCTAAAGTCCCCACAGAACAACATTAGATAAACCTCAATCTGTCATCAAACTGTCAAACATGTGAACAGCTTAAATAAAAAGTTACCACCGTATTAATAAAATCCATTTCCGTGATATTTTATACTTAAAATAAATAATATTTGTTTCAAATTAAATTACTTATATTTCAAATCAAATTATTTTACTTAAATTTAATCTATTAGCTTTAAGAAATATTATTTCATTTTATTAAATTCATTTCAACCTTGTGGCATCGCGTTTTCTGCGGTGAAACCTACTTTATATAGTCTTCTTTTTTATGTGCTGTGTCCTTTCAAGGCGTAGGCGATTATGGCTCTCCGGTTCCCCTTATCCCTTTTAGCTCTCAGTAAGTTTCATGCCTCTGCCCCCTCGCAACAGACCACGTTCTGTCATCCACTTGCCCACCAGGTATGTCATGCATTGCTTTCCCTGGTATCTCTTTCCCTCTATTCAACTCGTGAGTATCAGATTCTCCAGGCCCCCATTTCTCAATAAGTGTCCCAGAAACGTCACCCGCCTCTTCCTGATGCTAAGTATATGCCTCCTCCTTGTTTGCATCCTCTTTAAGATCTCATCGTTGCTCACACGCTTGTTCTATGATATCCTACGCATCATTCTTTAGAACCACATCTCCGTCGCCTCTTGTTCATTTTAAAAAGACCATCCAAAATTATCTACCGTAAAGGAGGATAAATGTCACGTAACAGGTTAGTACTCTTTTCTTTGTTACCAAAGAGATCCTCTTGTCTCGCAATAATCTCCCCAACTTTTGGAATGCGTCCATGGCCATCCCAGTACTTCTACGGATCTCAGTGCTGCACTTACCGTCCTCTGTCAAGACGCTTCCCAGATATTTAAACTTCAGTGTCTTCTTGATTCTAGTGTCCCCGACCTACAAATCGCATTTCGGACTCATCTTTTTACTGATGACCAAGCATTCTGCCTTCTTGTAGTTTATGCTTAGTCCGTACATATCGCGCTCCTTTGCTAGCTTCTGTAGGAGGCTTACAGCACCTATTTTGTCTTCCTTCACCCATAGCAAACAGTAATGTCAACGGGAGTAACTCATTACGTTTTCTCGGTCAAACATGAATTGTAACGACTATATCCAATCAATTTCTACGTATGTTAAAATGTGTAAAACTCTATGATGAAGGGATATCATGGAACGGCCCTTCGGTAATGTTACAAAATCAGGATTTGTCTGATAAATGCTTTTTTAAAAATAATTTAGTAGAAAACGTGACGTCATTGACGGGAGAATGCAATGACACAAGACAGACTTTAATAAAGAAAATTTAAAACAATTCCCAAGTATATTTCATGCCGGAACACGTTACCTCCTACCCAGTTGTCAGAGATTCAACTATTCACCTTAAATTTGGCGACTAGCAAAAGCGCGTCCTGGGTAAGACGATAAACTAAATTCCGCGTCCCGGGTAAGGCGATTAACTACGTCCACCTTCTGATCAGGAGGTTTTGAGGAGCATGGAACTACTACTTAATTTCTGGTGTTTACGGGTCCACCCTGACCCGGGTTGGTAGTACATGTTAGTGTCCCAACTATGGGCAAATAATTAACCATTAAACTTGGGCTAAAACACTATGAAAGTGTAAAAATAGGTTTTAATACCAGCAATAATTTTTTGAAGGAAAAATTATTACCAGTAATACATTTTTGAAGAAAAATGATAGCAACAATACATTTTTGAAAAATAATATTACCAGCAATTCATTTTTGAAGAAAAGGGTATTATAAGTAATACATTTTTAAGAAAAAAATATTACCAGAAATAAAAAAAAAAAATGTCGGCATTTAATAACCCATTGAGGTTGATATGCTGTAAAACAAATCAGAACAAACAAAGCAAACCTAGCAAAAAGCCCGTGTTTGTTAACAAATGTCTCATCTCAACAGCAAAGTCCTTACTAGATTATCAGAAATCCGTTTTGTAATTGACTACGAATACGATAGGCTTAGGCATTTACACTCGGCATGTGGCAAATAACGAAATGCAACAGATGATGGCAATGAAGATTTTATATTCAAAATTAGCATCTTGTCTCGACTGCCATAATTAAAATAACAATCTGCATGCATGAAGCTGCGAAGAGTCCAGAAAATATAACCTATGACCAAACAGGTAAAATAAGAAAGTATCCCATATGGAATATCAAAATCCTTTAACTTAGTTGTTCCTTTCATCATATAAATGGTGTTTTTAAAATCATTTCACCCTATGCAAGAGAGTAAAGCTACAAAGTCACAAAAGATTACTGAGTGCGAAAGAAAAAAGCGAAACATTTTTAAGGAGTGAGAACAATAGAAGAGTAATCAAAAAGACAGTAGGTAACGATTTACCTAGCATTTAAATTTTTGAAGATCAAAACTGGCAGGAAAGCATGGAGCCGGAAGATAGTTCCACAAGTCAGATGTGCGAGAAAATAAACTATCAGTATCAAACTTTCAGCTATCTCTAGCCAAATCAATTGTGAGTTGATGAGACCTTTCAGTCAATCTAGTACTGCGATTTTTTTTCCTCTTTTTTTTTAAGCATTTCACCCCAAGCAAGACAGGAATGCCACTAGCATGCAAGGGGTTACAGAGAGTGAGAATAAGAGTAAAGAGGGATGTTAGAGGAAAAAATAAATAGAATAACATGGGTCAAGATAAAGGTATCAGGTCATGTCGATTGACATTACATTTGAATATTTGAAGATTATAGTTACCAGGGAGGCAATTAAGTGGAATGGATTTCCAATGTCGAGAAGTGTGAGAGAAGAAGCTGTTGAAGTAGAAGAGGCGGTTACATTTAATTGTTTCGACCGTAAATGGGTGGGACCGAAATGCCAAGCTAGTAGCAGACTTAAATTCATGCAGTGAAAATAGTTCGGCAGATCAGTTGCCATGAAAATATTTGTAGAAAAGACAGAGAGAAGCTAAGTCACGTTGGTGAGAAAATGTCTGAAGACATTTAATGTCTTTTACACCCAGAACATCCTCAACAACATCTTGTCAACTACACGTCGAACATTTCGTAACACGCTTTAATGCATATAGTAGGGTCACCAGTGAAGA